GGGGGGGGGGGGGGGGGGGTGATTAATGATTGGCGGATTTCAACATTTTAGCGATTTTTTGGGAGCGAATTTCGAGGGCAGAGGAAGATGGAATTCGATGGGATTTTTGGGGCTTTGGAAATTGCGACATTCGGGGGGAAGGAGTGGGTTTAGGAGAAAATGTCATGAATCTTTTTTATGGGGAATTTCATAAGCTACAAAAGTTGTTTTTCGACATTTTGTCGTAAATACACTCATTAAGGAGATAATCGAGGAATTCAGGAAAATTTTTTATCTGGGTGGGATCATTTCGTGGGATTTTTGAGGCGCTGGAAATTGTGAAATTCAGGGGGAAAGGGTGGGTTTAGGAGAAAATGTCATAAGACTTTTTTGTGGGGAATTTCATAAGCTGCGAAAGTTGTTTAGCGACATTTTGGCGTAAATCCACTCATTAGCGAGATAATTAAGGAATTTTGCAAGATTTTTGCGAGTGAATTTGAGAGGAAGAGGAAGAGAGCATTCGGTAGGATTTTTGAGGCTTTGGAAATTGTAAAATTCAAGGGGAAGTAGTAGGTTTAGGAGAAAATGTTATAAATCTTTTTTATGTGGAATTTCATAAGCTACAAGTTGTTTTTCGACATTTTGTCATAAATGCACTCATTAAGGAGATAATCGAGGAATTAAGGAAAATATTTTTATCTGGGTGGGATCATTTCGTGGATTTTTGAGGCGCTGGAAATTGTGAAATTCAGGGGGAAAGGGTGGGTTTCGGAGAAAATGTCATAAGACTTTTTTGTGGGGAATTTCATAAGCTGCGAAAGTTGTTTAGCGACATTTTGGCGTAAATCCACTCATTAGCGAGGTAATTGAGGAATTTTACAAGATTTTTGCGAGTGAATTTGAGAGGAAGAGGAAGAGAGCATTCGGTAGGATTTTTGAGGCTTTGGAAATTGTAAAATTCAAGGGGAAGTAGTAGGTTTAGGAGAAAATGTTATAAATCTTTTTTATGGGGAATTTCATAAGCTACAAAAGTTGTTTCGCGACATTTTGGCGTAAATCCACTCATTAACGAGATAATTAAGGAATTTTGCAAGATTTTTGCGAGTGAATTTGAGAGGAAGAGAGCCATTCCGTAGGATTTTTCGGGCTTTGGAAACTGTAAAATTCAGGGGGAAGGAGTGGGTTGAGAAGAAAATGTCATGAATCTTTTTTATGGGAAATTTTATAAGCCACAAAAATGGTTTTGCGACGTTTTGTCGTAAATGTACTCATTAACGAGATAATCGAGGAATTAAGAGAAACGTTTTATATGGATCGGATAATTTCGTAAGTTGGAATGAATCTTCCTTCATAATTTTAACAATAAGGTAATGCATTGCGATTACGTTTGCTGCAGTGCTGCAGGGTGATTAATCATCGGAGAATTCCACCACTTTTGCAATTTTTTGCGGATGCATTAACAGAGAGAAAGGAAGAAAGAGGGGACGAAGGAAAAATTCAATGCGATTTTTTCAACTTGAAAAATCTCGTGAAAAATTGTGAAATTCACGGAGAATCAGTGGGTTTAGAGGAAAATGTCATAAAACATTTTTATGAGGCATTTTATAAACTACAAAAATGTTTTTATGACCTTTTCCGATAAACCCAATAGTTTCCTAGATTTTTCAAAAAATAAGACGACTCGATTCATTAAATTTCAATAGATGTAACCTGATCTATTTGATCACTCGTTAGTTTTGTTTGATTACCTCCGTAATGATTGATTTTACGGGAAAATGTTATAAGACTATTTTCTGGAAAATTTCATAAGCTACAAAAAATTTCTTATGACATTTTCCAATAAACCCGATAGTTTCTCAGATATTTGAGAAAATAAGCGACTCGATTTTTCATTTTTGGCAGATGCAACCTCATCTCATTACTAATTTTTTTTTTATTTATCGCGAAATCAATAAGTCTATACAGCTCTTCATACATTATTAATTGTTTCATTACCTCAACAATTAGTGCTTTTAGGAAAAAATGTCAAGAGGCAAAAAGTAAATTGTAAAGTGAAATGTAAAGAGATGTTTGTTGAATTAACTCCAAATTACCTTCATTGTTTTGCTTTCAGTTGTGGGAGGAATAGCGGAGGGAAGTGACTCTGAAGAGTTATTAGCGGGGGGCGTTGGTACACCGTGCAACAGTTCACCACTGCCAGCAGCCACTGCACCTCTTCTCGTAACACCGGAAACACCACCAGTAACAGCTAACACTCCAGTATCAACTCCCCAAGTTCAAGTCAATCAGAATGATGAGCAACAGCAGACACTGCCCAATACCACGAGGCAGCTCAGCTTCGAGGTACATTAAAATTAAAACTCCACAAGAAAAAATACAATTCAACATTTCAAGCAGCTCAATCACTCGATTTCAAATCGCCTTTCAGAAAAATGGCATTATCTCGAGAACTAATCGACGAATCTCAGAAAATCTTCTTTCATTTTGAACCCGGGGAAATTTCCGATCTCATCCCCTGGTCATGAACCCATTTTGCCCCGGCGGTTGTTGGCATATCCCCAAAAATGTGAAGCGGATTTTTTTTTTCAATTTCTCGATTGCGAAAACGGAATTCATGAAAATGCGATTATCTCGGGAACTATCCGACGAATTTCGATGATTTTTTTTTTCAAATTGAAGGTGAGGAAATTTCCCACAAAAAATTTCTTGTGACATTTTCCCCCAGACCTACCCCCTCCCCAGAAAAACCCAAATTACCAACAAAACAAGGAATTTCACGAAAATAAATGGATTATCCCTGCATTTTCCTGCGCTTTAATGAGCGTTTTGGAGTTCTTCATTGAAAATAATCAATTTCTGAATGTTCCAACGGAATTCGAGTCCGTTTATAAACCTATTTTGCCCCGGGGGTTAATTAGAAACCCGCGAAAATGTGAAGAGAAAAATTTTCAATTCAGCGAAATCTTAAAAATTTCTTCATTTTTAAAACATCGTTTGTAACAATGCCATTATCTCAGCAACCAATCATCGAATTTTAATGACTTTTTTTTCAACGTAAAGTTTAAAAAATTTCCGATCTCACCCTCTGGTCATGAACCCATTTTGCCCCGGCGGTTGTTGGTATATCCCCAAAAATGTGAACCAGAAAGTTATTTTTCAATTTCTCGATTCTGAAAACATAATTCGCAAAAATGCGATTATCCCGGGAACTAGCCGACGAATCTCGACGATTTTTTTTTCAAATTGAAGGTGAGGGAATCTTCCACAAAAAATTTCTTGTGACATTTCCCCCCAGACCCACCCCCTCCCCAGAAAAACCCAAATTACAAAAAAAAAAACGGAATTTTACGAAAATAAATCGATTATCCCTGCATTTTCCTGCGCTTTAAGAGCATTTCGGAAGTTCTCGAGTGAAAATAATCAATTTCCGAATGTTCCAAAGGAATTCGAGTGTGACGTGTCCGTGGCAGAGGGCAACCGCCGCCGGCAGGAGTTCTCCTTCACCCTGTACGACTTCGACGGTCACGGAAAGATAACAAAAGATGACATTGCTGGCCTTGTAACGACTATTTACGATACCCTGGGTGCATCAATTCAGGTACCACCTTGTGGCAGTAAAACCATCAAAGTCAAGCTAACAGTATCGCCGGACAAAGGTACGGGCCAGGGTGTCACAAACAATTCTACAAATGCAAAATCAACCAATCTACCCTCTAGTACACCGTGCTGCCATGTCAAGACTGTCAGTGCGTGCAGTCACGCAACGCACGCAAATCGCAGACTTCCGAGAAGGAGGCGAGTGCCTCGTAATCGGGCTGAGGTAATGATCATTATTTACCAGATTTTTCGTTGATTTATTTATTTTTTTTCCTTCAACCAAATACCCACAACTGTTTCATCACTCGATTTTCAAAACACCCCTCGCTAAAATGCAATTATCTCAGGAACTAATTATGGAATCTTGAAATTTTTGCTTTTCATTTAAACCCAAGAAAATTTCCGATCTCAACCTCTGGTCACAAACTCATTTTGCTCCGAGGGTTAATTGGAAAATAGTGAAGATGTGAAGGGGAAATTTTTTAATCCAGTTTAATTCGTAAAATTGGTGATTTTCAAAATACCTTTCACAGAAATGCAATTATTTCTCTATATTATAAAAATCTAAATCGACTTCTGGTGATGAACATTTGGTACTGGAAATTAAGACTCCAAAATTGAGGGTCAAAATAAGGGTCATGAGGGTTACAGCAAGTTTCAGATGAAAGATCCAAATTAAGGATCACGAGGATTCAAATGAGGGTCATATGGGTCCGATTAAGGTTCTAAATAAGGTTCACAAGGATCAGATTAAAGATCACGAAGGTTAAGGGTCTGAGTAAGGGTCAGGGGGGTCATAAGGGTCACTATATATCTCTATATTATGAAAACCTAAATTGACTTTTGATGATGAAAATTTTGTACTGGAAATTAAGACTCAAAAATTGAGGGTCACAAGGGTCAAAGTAAGGGCCATGAAGGTTACAGCAAGTTTCAGATGAAAGATCCAAATTAAGGATCACGAGGATTCAAATGAGGGTCATATAGGTCCGATTAAGGTTCTAAATAAGGTTCACAAGGATTAGATTAAAGATCACGAAGGTTAAGGGTCTGAGTAAGGGTCAGGGGGGTCATAAGGGTCACTATATATCTCTATATTATGAAAATCTAAATTGACTTTTGATGATGAAAATTTTGTACTGGAAATTAAGAATCAAAAATTGAGGGTCACAAGGGTCAAAATAAGGGCCATGAGGGTTACAGCAAGTTTCAGATGAAAGATCCAAATTAAGGATCACGAGGATTCAAATGAGGGTCATATAGGTCCGATTAAGGTTCTAAATAAGGGTCACAAGGATTACATTAAAGATCACCAAGGTTAAGGGTCTGAGTAAGGGTCAGGGGGGTCATAAGGGTCACTATATATCTCTATATTATGAAAATCTAAATTGACTTTTGATGATGAAAATTTTGTACTGGAAATTAAGA